CCCTCCCTCCCTCCCCCGCCTGCCTACAGCCCAACCAGCCCCCGCTCCCCCCCTTCCCCCGCCGTGGCAAGTCTTGAACCGCAAGAGATGCGCTGGGCACAGGGAGGGGACATAGATGGGTTTTTTCTCCTTCCCCCCCCCGCGCTTCCCCTCAAGACCTGAGGAAATCCAGCCCAAGTTGGGGGCGATGACTGTGCTGCTGGCATCGGGGCTTCTCCGCGGCGTCCCTGCCTCTGGACCGCCTCGCCGCTGCTCGCTCTGAATCCTCGGCACTGCCTCAGAGCTTAGTTCTCATGTTGTGGTTGCTGGGCTGCCGCTTTCCCGTGTTTTGCGATGGGAGGTGGAGGAAAAGGGATTGTCCGTGAGTCAACACTGAAAATGTGATTAGGAGGACCTGCTCTCGCTAATCCGTGTCTAACCTTGCAGTCCATGTTGGCCTGTGACCCCTTGCAGCTTTCAGATCCAGCCTGAGCAGGTAAGTGTCAATTATTCACTTGGGGTAAGGGAAGGCGGATGGAAACGTTTTACTCCGAGACTTACCTATGATCCTGGCCTCTCTCAGCACGAGAAATGACGAGAAAGTTCAGCTGTAAACTAATTCTGAGCTGAGCGGCATTTGTTTACTTGTTGAAATCTGTGGGTGCAAGCCGTCTGCAGTCTGTCTGATCTCCAGGATCGCCGCTGAGCCCAGTGCTTGCGAGTTGCTGTGGGACGTCTCGGATGCTGTAGCAAAATACAGTGGCCTTATTTATGATCTTTGGAGAACTTTTTTTTTTTTTCTTTATAATTTGGAGAGCTTCCTCATTAAACTTCAACAAATTCTCTCCATGGTTTCACATTTCCTCAGACGTGAATTACTTCATTTGCTTCTGCTTTGCTTTTACCCTAAATGCCCACCAGTCTGCAACCTACCTGTAGCATTTAGGTGGGCAAGATTCTCTGCTCCGTAGAGCCACAAAGCAGCCCTATCTGCATCAATCACCCGATTCCCAAACAGCATGTTACAAGAGATATTGCTGATGGTAGTAACACGGTGCATAGTCCTTGTGATGGAAACGTAGCTAGTACTTCAATTAAGAAGATATCTTTTGAATTTGATAAAGCTTGTGTAATATCCGGTGTCTCCCTCTGTTGTGGCTTCGGAAAAACTGCTTTGTCAACAGGATCCCTTATAGCTGCTTCTCTTGGAAGCTTGCTGCTGCTGCTGCTTTTTTTCTTCAATTAAGGGAAAATTAATTGCTGAACATCTGCAGTCCACCCAAAATCCCGATACGTAAAAAATACCTCCTGGGGGGTGAGTGGTTGGGTACATGTTTGCCTCTGTGTGTAGGTTAGTGCATGTTTGTACATGCGATGTGTATCTGTGTGTGCACGCTGTGGGAACGCAGGAAGAGAAGGAATGACACACACATCCAAGCAGTCCATTTTTGGTGTGTGTCAGCAGCTAACCTCCATCGTTCTCGATCCATGTAATGCTGATATTTCATCTCATTTAAAAGTTTCCTGTAATACTTTGCCGGGTTCTCTTAAGAGAGGTCAGAAACCATTTTGCTGCCGGGGTTTGCACAGGCTGGTGGCTGGTGTGCAGCAGGCAGGACGGCGCGTTGGTGGCAGTGATGTGGCACCACGGGCAACCGCTGGCACACCCAGGACACCCCCAGGGAGCCTTCGCCTGGAGCTGGCTCTCCTGGGGGCAGCACAAAGCTCCTCTACCTCTCAGGGTCAGTCCTCGGCTCGACCCCTTAAGCAGAGCTCTCCAAAGGTCGGGCCACGCTGCATCACTCCCAAAGTTTTAGAAAAGGCTCCAGCTCAATCAGACAAACCCATTTCAGCGGCTCCATGCATTACACAGGCATTTAACATCCTGCTCGCTGCATTTCTCTCTGGGAATTACTGAAATGCTGAATAATGGAGAAGATGAATGACATCTTTGCTTCTGTGGGGATTATACGGACCTGCCAGGCTGGGCTGTGCTGGTAGCCCAGGTAGTCCCTCTTCCTCTTCAAAAATACCATCTTAAAAATTCTGTACTATTCCACTTCTCGCAGACCGAGTATAACTCAGCACCATCTTTCATATTGGATGCAGATCTACCTACAGATTATGCTTATCTCGTTTTTCCACTCAGGTTTCCCACCTCAGTTTAATGAAGTGGGCTGTGCATTGTAGGTAGCACAGAGGGACAGTGGCTACAGCGAGAGGTTAAGCCCGTGCTTAAACTTGGGTTCAAGTCCCTCCGAGCTGCCCGTCACCATGTGATTTCAGGCAGCTAGTTTAACTTCTGGTGCATCAGAAAACTGAACTGCACGAACGAGGAAAGTAAAATTGAGATGATTCTGTGAGACACCATTTCTACAGAGATATTTTCTGGGCATATGCTTACAGGCACGTGTGTCTCATTTACGTATTTCATATGCTTTATCCTCTTTAACAATAATTTAGAAGAGGCTTAATTCAGATGAAACAGTGGTAGTTATCTGTGCAGTTCGAAAGCACTGATCTATTCTTGGGTGCTGCTTGAAAGTATGGCTTTTATAAGTCAATGTTCCTTCGCATTTTGAGTTGTTCTCATTTAAAAATATTTGTTTTCAGACCACAACACTGGTCTCCCTATGGAAGCAGCTGTTTCTATCTGGCACTGAGATCCCATGGAGAAGCTGAGGAGGGGGATGGCTCTTCATATCCATGAAGCCTGGATACTTCTGTTTGTAATCCCTGCTTTGGTCACTCCAGCTGCCATCAATCATGAAGACTACCCCGCCGATGAAGGGGACCAGACCTCCAGTAATGACAATCTGATCTTTGATGACTACCGAGGGAAGGGTTGTGTGGATGACAGTGGCTTTGTGTACAAACTGGGAGAACGTTTTTTCCCGGGACATTCCAACTGTCCCTGTGTCTGTACTGAGGATGGACCTGTTTGCGATCAGCCAGAGTGCCCTAAAATCCACCCAAAGTGTACAAAAGTGGAACACAATGGATGCTGTCCAGAATGCAAAGAAGTGAAAAACTTTTGTGAATATCATGGGAAAAATTACAAAATCTTGGAGGAATTTAAGGTATGAAACCCTTTCTTCGGTATTTAATATTAGTGTGCTGTGGGAATTGTTTCTTTTGGGGACTCTCAAAGGCACTCAGTATTTTCTCGCTGCTGTTAATTGGCGCTAAAGCTGAAGACCCTTTCAGCTTTGATGCAGGTCTGGCTAATGTGAAAGCTGCTGCCTCCTCCCTCACGTGCACCAGGGGAGGGACAATGGTCAGTCAAAAGTCCCCGCGTGAAATGCCAGCCCTGTGAACCTGCTACTCCAGACAAACTCCTTCTTGGCTCATAGCGTGAATCGGGCTGGACTACCAATAGTGTCTGTAAAAATGGTGGTAAGCCAATACTGAGTGCTTTTTAAGAACCCCTTTTCCAATTTGGGTAGCAAAAATTGATGGCATGGTAGTGAGAGTATGTATGAGAATGCAAGTAAGGAGATTGCAAGCTATATTTAATATTTTCATTTCAACTGTCATAAGGCTGTCTAGAATGGCAGAAGATGAATTTCTAGGCAGATGACCATCTCAAGCAATGAGAAGTACGGGGTTTAATTGTAATGGTAGAGTTACTGTTAGGAATGTTGTAAAGAAATCCTTCTGGAATATATCTCAAAAATAAGACCGGATTTTCAAGAACCAGTACCCTTTACACAACCTGCATCTCTCATTCTCATGTGTTTGACTGCATGTTTTCGATTCTGCTAAGAAAAATAGCATTTCACAGGGAAGAACAGGGTCTGCAAAGGCAATAGGTCTACACGAGTTTGTTCTCCCAGGTCACATGGCTTTAAGATTCGTACCTCTATAATTAACAACAGCCTATAACTCTTTGTGGCTGTATGCCCGATCTCATTATACGCTTGCCAATTTACTTTCTTTTCTGACAATGAAAATACTTCCATATAGATCTGTGTACTTCACGAGTTCTTGGTACCATAGATCACAATTTCCTTTTTCCCAGGTACTGGGAAAAGTTCACTTCATTTTCAGTGAAGGTAATATTTAGTTCCTTTCTTCTGTCGTGTATGGTTCATGTTCACCTTTTTCTGTCCATCTGTAACTGCAACCACTCGGTATGGGCAAGTCAGTTTAACGTCATAGTCACAAGGCAAAACAAATACATGAGGAACATCTCCTTGAGGGCCATCCTCATCAACCTGTTCTCTGCTTTGCTTTGCTGAGGAATGTGAAGATCCCGATTTTGTGAACTGTTTAAACAGTTTCTTCTCGCCAGAGGAAGGCCTCACCCAACTTCATCCCACAATCATGCTTCAGTGGTCCCGTGTTGACTGCTCTGAAGTCCCCCACCTAGGTGTAACATTGTCACATGGTCAGGTTCCTGCGTGAAAACTGTAAGGGCTCTTTTTGGAAAGGTTTCAGTGGGAGAATAATGAGATGGATCTTCTCATTAAAGTATCTTTTGCATGTGAATTAAATACAAGAGTACTAATCGCTTTTCCTGAAAGAAATAATTGCACCCTGATAACAGGTTAAAGGATAATGAAACAGAATTTAGGGGAGAAAGACTATTACAGGGAGTTAGAGCAATCTGGTTCATCGTTTGCTGCGTTCAAAACTGTGGGGTGTTCTGTGGAAAGCAAAGTTCCAGTATCCTCTGAGAAACACAAAGTAGATGGTGGCACGCCACTCTCGCACACAGGTACCTTCAGTCCAGGACTCACGGGAGGTCCTTCGGACTTAACTTAGTTGGCAGTCGACTTTTTGACCTGGACCTGTGTTTTGCTGAGAGCTCGATACCTTGTGGAATAGGGCAGAAACAGATTTCTTTGAAATCTATGTGTTTTCCTAGAATAAATAATGAAACTTTTTTTCCTCTTAAGTAGTGGAAGAGTTTCAGGCAATGGAAGATTACGGTGCACTTCCAGGGCTGTTTTGGGGGGAAAAAAGGAGCACTCCTGAACTGTGAGTTTATAAATGCTGTAGGAAAGACAGAACTTCAGGATGCAGGAAACTGCTGCTGTGAAGTGAAATCTTGACTTCATTGAAGCATCTGAGCATTTTGCTATTTACTTCAACTGAACAAGGATTTCATCTGCTGTCTCCACAGCAGAAATTCTGAGCAGTGCATAGGTTTTGTAGGCTCTGAGCTCTGCTCTTCCCTCATCCTGTTGAATTTATAAGGTCTGCAAACTTTCTCAATTCCATTCCACACACCCTGAAGTCTGTCTTTGCCAAAGAGGAGAGGCTTTCTCCAGTCGTGCCGACTCAAAACCAGACTGCTTTCGGTGGAAACGGAGGCACTGTTTTATGTGGGCTCATAACCCTTTTACCCCCTTGATTTACTTTTGCTAATATGTAGGTTCCAAAATCATCATCTGTAGACGTGCTCGTCACTGCTGGGTTACGGCTGAAATTAGCCTCCATTTAAAAATCTTTTGCAAGCGTGTGTGTGTGTGTGCGCACAAACATCCATACTTGCTCTAGTAGTATTACCAGGGCTGACTCATCTTGTAGAAATTTCAACAGCCTGATCTTTCACAATTAGGGGGTGGTTTTTTCTCTAGGAAATTTTGTTTTCTAGGATATCAAAATCCGTGAGAAATTTCCATTTGGGAGAATTTTCCTGTCTTGTTTATAGGTTTCTGTTTAGGTTTTGGGTGAGGAATCCGACTGTGAGTTAATCTTTTTTTTTTTTTTTTTCCTTACCACTGGCAGTTACTGTGACTATCTCAGGGTAAAGGAGTAGTTAGAAAGACCCATTTCTTGAATATTTAACTGTCATCTAGCGAACTGATCTTGTACCTCTGACTTTTTTTACTCATAACAATTATAAGAGCAAAATATAAACATGACAACAAGCTATCTAGCTTAGACAGCTGTCCAGATGTTTATGCTCGTGCCCCTAAGTCGTTAACACGTACAGATGAAATGCTGAACTGAAGTTCAATTGCAAGTCTAAACCCATTAGCAGTTTTTCTTGTATCCTTTTGTAAAATCTTGTGTCCCTGACAGATGGTTTAGTAACCCTGTGCAGCATCTTCATAGTTCTGTTATGGGTCCTGAGGGACCTTTGTGGGGTTTTGGGCGCCAGCTGCCCGTGCGGAGCCTGCCTCATCCCCTTGGTTTGCCTGGGACTTCCCCCCACCTTCGGCTGAGGCTGTGGTTCCACCTGGAAACCCCCGCAGAAAAGGTCAGCACAGTCCTAACGTGAGTCAAGATGCAACTCAGACGTATTTAATACATAGGTTGCTGCCCAGCATCCAGGATTTTGACTCCTGTGGAGCAGTACGCAGGAGAAACGGGAGGTCTGGTGGCTTTTGCTGAGATCCATCTGTCTCCCACCTCATTTTCCACTTCTTTCCTTGTCAGCCTCGAATCTGTTCTCTCGGATCTCCTCTGGTCCCTCAGAGTCAAACGCAGGGTGACGGGCAGCTGCGGTGTCTGCAGGGAGGGGGTGAAGGATGCTGCAAGTCTTCGGCAGTCTCTCTGTTCCCTCCAGAGGGAGAGCTGGTGGGGACTCTCGGGTCACTTTAGCAGCTTGCTTTTTCTCCCACACGTCAGCCGTGCTTTCCTTTCAGTCCTGGAGGTCAAGGTCTGAGTCCCAAGTGCTGCGCGCTCGCCTGTACTAGCAGAGATCTTTCAGGGAGGTCGTTAACCCTCCCCTTTCTTCCCGGAGAGAGAAAACAAGCAAATAACAGCTCAGAGAGCAGTTGTGTTTTAAATGGATGTTCCCAGCCAGCAGTTTATGTAAACCAGAGGAGACAGCGTACCGCCAGCGTGATGGATGTTCATTGGCAGCTTATGGAGGAATCGCACAAATGTCAGTGAGACAACAGTTTTCCTAAGTGCTGATTAGTTGTTACTCTCCTGCATAACTTACTGGCAGAAAAACACACACCTACCCACATTTGACAAATGCAATTTATGGCGTGGTTAAGGTATATTTGTGGCCACAGTTTGGAGCTGTTGGAAGGGGGTTAGGTTGTCGGTTTGAAAAGTCCATAATCACTCCTGAACTTCCTAGATCTCTCACCACCCAATATAGGCATATCCAGAAGAACCTTCTACGGACCTATATGAATATATAGCAAAATACCGTTGCTGGGAAATGAATGGTCATAGCCAATACTCAATGAAATCAATACTCAAAGAATGTCAAGCCGATACTCTGAGACATTCTCTTCATTTTAGACCCTACAGGGAGGAACTGCTCCCTGTCGCTGCAGGAGAGTGAGTCCCGGGGACATGGTTTTCGGTAGCACGGTGCCATCCTTCTCAAAGTCAACAGCAGAAATTTTCTAGCCACAGACATTGAAATATCTCCATTTGCCTGGCAGGACTTTGGGTGAGTTATCCATTGGGTGGGAACATGAGAGGTTTTGGCATCACAGCTTGGCCTTCCTGGTAGTACTCATGTCAGAAGAGCAGCTGCAACCTGCAGTTGTGAACTTGAGCTTGGAAACAACCCTTGCCCCTGAGCAGGCCTCTGCGCTGTCAAACAAACAAACAAACAAACAAACAGGAAAAGAGAAATTTTAGCTTCATTCTAGGGCAAAATCTTCACTGACTCGAAAAGAGCCAAGATTTCACTGCTGGGGTTCTACTTTATTTTTCTTTCCCATGTTTCCTGCCACTGTATCTGAAGTTCATGGCTTTGTTTTGTCCACAGATTGTCTGTAATCCTTCAGCCAGGGCTTCTGTACCTCGCTGACTTTATGTCTTGTCGAGCAGCACTTTGCACAGTAGGGATCACACCTCTAACAGGGATCTTCAGGGTATAATCAGAATCCAGAATAAATGGGGGACTACATAAGCATAGCATTATCATATACTAATTCTCAGCTCGTTATGGAAGCCTTTACTTCAGAATAGTGGCACCTCCTTCTCCTTTGTTAATGCTCTTTAAAATGTTTTATGAATGCAATTATCTCAATATAACTTAACAAAATAAGACCTCTTATCAAAAGGCGTTAGCACATGGAAGAGCGTGTTCAGCTGCCGTCCCGGCTTCTCTCAGTCCCTGAGATGCAGCGTGTCCGTTCTGCCACTGGAGAAAAGG